AACTTTCCCTTTCAGGGGAGATCGAATAGAATCACAAAGGTATGCATTAGGTCCACAGAGGGCAGAAAACGAAGGAAAGAGTAATAGTACAATTAAAAAAGCGAGATGGGGGCTGGAGAGGCGGCTCAGTGGTTAAGAGCACTGACTGCTCTTACAGAGGACCCGAGTTCAATTCCCAGCACCCACATGGTGGCCATGAACAGTCCTTAACTCCAGGTCCAGGGGAATCCGAAGCCCTCTTCTGACCCCTGTGGCATTGCACAACACGGGTGCACTCACATACATGCAGGCAATGCACCCGTACACATAAAATCAAAATAATAATAATAAAAAAAAACAGTGAGATGATGACAGGCTTGAATGTAACCGTTTCACCATCACACTCAATATCAATGGTATAATTATTCCAAGTAAAAATCAGAGGTAATAATGTTGGCTGGCATGTGCTTGATATCCTTAGGTTATATAAATACCAACACTAGTATTTATGTAGGTAAGGAGTATTTTATTTATTGCTATCTCATAGGGACGTACATTCAGTGGTGGGGAAACTGCCTCTAGCACCTTAAATTTTATTTATTCATTTATTTTTATTTTATGTGCATGAGTGTTTTACCTACATGTAATAAGTGCACCTGTGTCATGCAAACCTGATGAGGTCAGAAGAAGGTGCTGGATTCCCTGGAACTGGAGTTGTGAACAGCTATCAGTCACCATGGGGGTGTTGGGAACTGAAATCCGGTCCTAGGTAAGAGCAGCCATTTCTCTTAACTGCTGAGCCATCTCTTCAGCCCCCCTCTCAAACACCTTTTTATAGTCCCCTCTCACAGGAGTGCAATACTCTAGTGCTGAATGCAGATAACTTAATGAAAAATTAGAAGAGAGTGTCACACATCCTTGGGTACAGCAGTTTGATTACTCTCTGTATACTTAGAAACAATGACAATATTTTAAAATTATAGCAAAATGGAAGGCTGGACGAGAGTTCAGTGATAAGAGTATTTGCTTAGCATATGAAAAACCCTGGGTTTGATTCCCCAGCACTAAAAAAAAAGAAAGAAAGAAAGAGAAATAAAGATCGCCACTACAACAATAATCTATCTAGGGCTAGGTGTGGGGGTTCAGGCCTTTAATCCCAGCACTCAGGAGGCGGAAGCAGGTAGATCTCTGTGAGATCAAGGCCAACCTGGTCTACATAGTGAGTTCCAGGCTACAGGGAGACCATATCTCAAAAATACCAGTAAAATATATCATAAAAGAAATCTATCTAACCCCTGAGTATATGAGCAATTGCCATAGTGCCAAGCTGGCTGCACAGCATGTGTTTATCATGATGGTTATCTGAATTAAAAATAAAAATGTATTCGATATAAATGTAAATATAAAACTTTTTCTGAGTTCTTGCTAGTTTCAACTGTATATCAGATTAGAGCAGGTAGGAAGAGTTTAACTTTCTCTTAATAAGCATGAAATTTGAAACCAAAGAAATCTGAATTTAATATGAAGGGTAATCCAGAGTAAATGCCACTATTTCTCTGATACTTCTCATGGTAATGGGCAATTAGTAAATTCAACAAGGTAACTTTAAAGTCTATTATAGAGACCTGAGATATCAGAAGAATTCCACAAGTGGCAGCTCTTATGATCATGTGAGGACATAGCTTGATCCAAGTACAATAGAGATTAGCTTTTTCATGAACTTTTCACTGGCGAGGAGAAGGAAGGAGAACGAAAGAGAGACAACAGGAATGTCCTGTTCACAGTACTATAATAAAAAAGTATTTGAATTCAGAAAGGTCCAGCAGAGTATAGTTACTCAGATACTATATGAAAAGAAACGCTGCCATGTGGGTGCTGGGATTTGAACCTGGGTCTACATGAACAACCAGTGTTCTTAACTGCTGAGCCATCTCTCCAGCCCCAATATTAAATGTTTTTAAACGAGGGAAACTAGATGTCATCATTGACAGTCTTCCCCAGCTGTGAACCCTATGAATGACAACAATAGTTATTATTAACAAGACAGGTCACCCATGCAACAGTGGCAAGCCCGTTATGGGGGTAAACAACTGCTTTCTGATTGGACTTAGGGCCTGCTCCACAGGAGGCAACACATGCCAGGTTCTGTAAATCTGGCCAAGAAAAAAAGGTAGGGGAGTTCACAGACCCTCAAGGGTGAAACTACTATTATTATTTTCTTTTTTTAAATTATTGAGAGGTTGTTGACCATATTTCTTCTCCCAACCTCCCTGCCCACTCATGTTCATTTTCTCCTCTTTTTCCCCATCAGGTTTATGTTCCCCAATTACTGTTCCATCTGTAATGAAAACTGCCGATATCAAATGCCAAGAGCTCCTTAGTTAGGGATGGGACTTCATGCCTACATGCTCCAAGATGGGAGTTTGTCTGGCTTGAACTTGAGCAGGTCTTGTGCATGCTGTCATGACTGCTGACCCACCTACTATTATTCTGGTAAATGGACATAGCCTCAAGCTGCCTTCTAAATTCCAATCTGTAGACCCATAGATGGGTGCAGCTCTCAGACCACATCAGAGAAGTTTCTTTGTGCAGTGGATGAGGGTTAACACAGAAACTAACCTTTGGTTGAAGTTCAGAGAGTAAGTGTCAGTGGTGTCCTCAGCCACAAATGGAAAATCTATATCACCACCCCCACCCCAAGGCTCAGGACCATTCCACAAGGACCATTGTGGAAGAAGGGGTGGAAAGACTGTTAAGAGCAGTTTGTCAGGAACAACCAGATCACAACAGCATGTTCTGGACATGACAGGACGGTGGTCTCATGAACTCACAGCAGCTGTGGATACCTACACAGGTCCTGCACAAGCTCAGCATTCTATTTTAAAATATTTTATTTATTGTTTTTATTTTATGTGTCTGAATGTATTGCCTGTGTGTACGTAGGTGCACCCGTGTCATGCAGTGCCCTTGGAGGTCAGAAGAAGGCATGGAGTTCCCTGGAACTGGAGTTACAGATGGTTGTTAGCTGCCATGTGGGTGCTGGAAATAGAACCCAGGTCCTCTGCAAGAGCAGCCAGTGCTCTTAACCACTGAGCCATCTCTCCAGCCCTAAGATCGGCATTCTAACACTGAAGAGGAAGGGCCTCATGAGCCCCCACCTGTAACTGAGGCACTATGGGCAGGCTTCTGTGGGTGAGTCAGATGTGACTACTGGTAGGCTGATCACACTCAAGTGGAGGGCCCCACACCCTGAGTAAGGGGCAGCACACATTGGATTTGATGGGTTATTTAAAAAAAAAAAAAAAGACATGGAGCTGGGAGGAGTTAGGGGAGGAGTCAGGAGTGAATATGATTAAAAGGCATTGTAATACATTCTCAAAGAACTAATAAAATTATTTTTTAAAAGATTATAATGACTAGAAGACACATCCCACAGACCTCTGCATTATTAACACGCTATTTCAAGAATATTAGGTTCATTGACAATCAAACCACTCCATTGCAAATGCTGCTTTGAATGATGGACATTCAGTGATGGAAATGAGGTGTCCGTCTGTAGTCAGCAGTCAGCCAAGTAACTACTGCAATTCTATTTTGGGTTATTTGTAGGAGGAAAAACCTGGCTTCAAATGTAAAGATACATTCGGTGCTGTGATGTAATTAAAGTGCCCAATATACTATGGTGAAGGTAATGAGTAAATACCCAGGTGTGGTTAAGGCCCGTTTTTGTTTCGTTTAGGCCACAGTGTTCTCACCTTAGGAAAAGCCTACAGAGACTACAATTGACAACGATGAAATGGCACTTGTGAGAAAAGGCTGCAAAGGAAGGAGAGTGACTGGCATGAATTACCAGCACCAAGCTGGTTTCAGAAAGAAATGTAAATTTAAACGCTCCCTCTTTGAAACAATTCTAGCACATTTGTGGTGAACAGATGCACCACACAAGATGCCAAGAAAGGGAAGAGGCCCCTCATCAGAGGGCAGTTTCTGTGGTCCAGAGCTCAGGGATGGAACTGCAACCAGGGTCTTGGGAAGGGAGTTCACGCCACTGTCCTTTGTTGAGATTTACTTCTCCTCTGCAGCTCCATTGGTTGGATTTCAAACCAGGCTGCCCATCCCTTCTCCTTTTGTTTTCACACTGATAATAGAATTACAGACCCTGCAAATCAAACACGTGAACCTAGGACACGAGGTGTTGAAAAGATGCTATTTTTCTCTTCCTGATCAAGTTGATGTCATGTTCAACAGCCACCTGCCATGTAAATGGATTCAGAACTGCAATAATTGTTAAGATGATAACGAGGACACACAGGTTCAAGGAAAGGTGGTGTATATGACTGTGGAAAGAATAGCAGACGCTCTCGTAAAACTTCCTCAGGCGTTTTGTGGACCTTGACATTTATGTCATCTAGGGTGGGGGACTTTATACGAAATTAAGCACAAAAACATTTAGAAGGAAAAAAACGAATCTGGAACTTTCGGGACTCCAGTCCTCTTCCACAACTTTGTTATGCGATTGACAAAGCAACATTCACTCCCAAGTCTTACAGCTCTCCTGCACGCCTTAGCCGCGAGGCCTGACCCCAGCTGCGGGGGTAGCATCTCCGCGCTCCCACTGTAGTTAATTTTACCTGGGGAGCCGACAAGCACCTCGCAGCGGAATAACAGAACCAGGGTCAGGCTTGCTGGTTCATGGTGAGCACTGACGCCCAGCACCTACCGGCGCCCGCAGGTCCGCGGCCCCGCGCACCCCGCGCTGCAGGCGCGCAGCCGGGAGGGTCGCAGCGCGCGCGCCCCGGGGGCTGCGGCG